GAGAAGAATTGCCAGGACCATCGTGTTACAAGAAAGCATCGGCAAAGGTCAGTTTGGAAAAGTTTGGCAAGACAAATGGTGGGGAGAAATTGCTGTGACAATATTCTCTTCTAGGGAAGAATGTTCATGGTTCCGAGAGACAGACATTTATCAGACTGTGATTGCTCCAAACCACACAGGAGGCAAAAAAAAAAAAAAAAAAAAAAAAAAAAAAAAGTCTGCAAGGAACCATAACCATGCTAACAGTGACTTTGAAATCTTCAAAAAGACGATAGGACTCCACAATGATGATTCCACATGGACTATGGTAAAGTCATTAGGCTGGTTAACACCATGGAAAGATCTGCTTTGAACTACAAACTGTTAAGGACAATTTTGAGATGACTAGCTGAGATGATCCAGCCTGACAGACTACTCGAGCAAGGACTTGTAACAAGCCCTGAACTTTCCTACTATCAGTGACTGGACAAATGATACAGGACTTGACAAGTAACTCAAAAGTTTTCTTTTCAAGATTCCCTAAAGATATCTTCACTCCTAGAAAGCAAAAAGAAAAAGAGAATAAGATATGAGATAGATCATTGAATCTACTCTGAGAAAAAAGATAAAGAAATAATAGGATGAATAGGTAGATCACTGAATCTACACTGAAGAAAAAGGGGAAGATATAAAAATGACAAAAGGTAGACTACTGAATGTATTATGAAAAGAAAAGAGAGAGAATATGGTTATGATAAGATAAAAAGGGAGATTATGGAATCTACTTTTAAAAAGGAGCTACTTGTTTTAAATAAGATAAGTAATGAAAATTTTTTGGTCTGAGTTTATCAAATGTTACTGGACTGGACATTGTTATATATTAATGGAGTTTTGTGCCTGAATTTGTCATATGTTAATGGACTAGACATCATTAAGGTAATTTTTGACTGTATATATTGTATATACTTATTAGATAGTTTTTCTTGTATTAGTTACAAGCTTTTTTTAATTTTAGACAAAAAGAGAGGAAATGTGGTGGTATTGTGTTCCTGAAAATATTGTGTATCCTAATAAACTTATCTGGGGTCAGAGAACAGAAAAGCCACAATATTAAACATAGAGGTTAGGCAGTGGTAGCACACGCCTTTAATCCTAGCATTCCAGAGACAGAAATTCCTCTGGATCTCTGTGAGTTCAAGGCTGCATTGGAAACAGCCAGGCATGGTGACTCACGCCTTTAATCCCAGAAAGCAGCCTTTAATCCCAGGGAGTGGTGGTAGAAAGCAGAAAGGTTTATAAGGCGTGAGGATCAGAAACTAGAAGCATTTGGCTTGTTAAGCATTTGGCTGGTTAAGCTTTCAGGCTTTGGAGCAACACAGTTCAGCTGAGATTCATTCTGGATGAGGACTCAGAGGCTTCCAGTCTGAGGAAACAGGACCAGCTGAGGAACTGGCAAGGTGAGATAGCTGTGGCTTGTTCTGTCTCTCTGATCTACCAGCATTGACCCCAATAACTGGCCTCAGGTTGGATTTTATTAATAAGACTCTTTAACTTTCATGCTACAATACTGTATTGTACAATACAGTCATGTACAATACAGACTTGTATGGAACCTTAAAAAGTTTATGTATTTTCAGAATAAGGAGACCAGACACCAATGAAAATAGATGGCCCAGGTCATCCAGCATCTCAAAATGCATCTTTTAGTCCCCTCAGAATTCTCTGTCTCAAACAGCTTCGAGGAAGCTTGCTGAAATGATCCAACCTCACAAATTACTCTAGTCAAGACCTAACAATTATCCTGATTTTCTCAAGTTTTCCCCAAAGATACTAGCATCCACAAATAACAGAAAGTAGTCTAAAAAATGATGCCCACATTCCCAAAAGATGGGTTATGAGTGAGTTTTGGTTATTCAATGGATTATGGATGTTTGTCATTGTGTATGGGTGTTGGTTACAAATTGTTATTACTCATAGTCAGAGAAAATGCTAAACAAAAGAGTTAAATTCAAAGAGCTCTTCCTAAAGGAAAAAATGTGGATATGATATAGGAATGATAGGAAAAAGGGTAAATTATTTAATATACTTTAATCCAAAAACACCTATTAATCTCAAAATACATCAGTATGTTTCTACTCTTGTTTGGAGTATTGTTCTTATGCAACTAAACTAGAAAAGTAATGTAAAATAAAAATACAGGTTAGTAGTTAGTCATCTATAATAATCAAACTTGTAGTCATATTAGAATGATTTCAAAGTTAAATAGATATATTTAGATAGATAGATGGTCTTTAAACACTTCAGAGATCTACAGAATATGGTATTCAACATCTTTAATAACCTAAGACTTTTCATGACAACATCACTTTACTTCAAAAGAGGATGATGGGCATTAAAGTACCTCCATAGGGAGTTTGCTTTCTTTATGGCAAAAACTAGCCATTTGGGAAAAGAAATTGCCCTTGCCTCACTTGCTGACAGTAAACTGTCCAAACTGGACCAGCAAGATGCACAAAGGAGCAGCTGTCAAGCTTTGCCAAGACATGGTAGGACAGTCTTTCAATTCCCTGCATCTCAAAAATGTCTGTCATATTACTAGGGCTGTAAGCCAAAGTTGGATGTGCCAACATTATGGAAGAACCTAGGGTGTCTGTCCAGGCAGCCAATTGTTTCAGTAATCTCTTAATTTTGGAGGTTGCTTGCTCTGTTCTTTCTGTTTACTCAGGAATAATATATCTTTCTCTGTCTTTGATGGGGTTGAAGAGTAGATAGTTACAGTTACAGTTCTACCTCCCTAAATCACTGTAGAAAGTAAATTAGGTACAAAATTCTGGACTCTACAGTAGAAGACAACTGATGGAGTATTTTCTCTATTTTGCCAAATACAAAAGGACTGGATATGGTAAATATAATTCTTAATTTATAACTGTTTTTATTGTATATAATTTTACCCTGTTAGAGTAAAATCTTCCTTTTTAATTAGACAAAAAGGGGGAATTTCTATGGAATAATCCTTCTGTAGACTGTAAAGATGTGTTGCTCTCATTGTTAGTAAAATGCCTAGGCAGCATTTTGGGGACAGAGAGAATGCTGGGGAGAAGAAGAAAGACTCTGAAGAGTCTCGAGGAGATGCCATGAGACACAGAGCAGTCAGGATGGGAAGTACGTACATAAGGTAAACAAGCCTCAGGGCAGCACATGGATTAATAAAGATGGGTTAATTTAGGTTATAAGAGGTAGCTAAAAAATGAGCCTAAGTAATCGGCTGAGCATTTCTTTTCTTATTAATAATGTTTCTCTGTGGTTTTTTGGGATCTGGCTGGTGAAACAGAAAAGGCCACCTACACAACATGGCTTCATGATAAAAGTCCTAGACCAAGTTCAATGGGAGTGAACATACCTCAACATAATAAAGATTGTATATGACAAACACGACTAACATTCCTAAATGGAGAAAAACTCAGTTATTTGGTTACATTGGGAATAAACCAGGGTTGTCCATTATCCTCAGTTTTGCAACATAGTGCTTGAAGCGGTAGCTAGAACAATAAGACCAAAGGAAGACATTAAAAGAATACAGATAGGAAAGGAGATCAAATTATTACTATTTTTTGATGATATTATTTTATACATCAAATACCATAAATTCCAGCAGAAAAGAACTAGAAACTATCAACATTAAAACCAATTGAGCACAAAGTTACCTTACAAATATTAGTATCCTTTCCATAAGCCATAACAAACATACTGAGAAAGAGACCATGGGAAGAGGGAACACTCTCATTCACAATAGCCTCAAAAAGGAAAGAAAATTCTAGGAGAAAACTAAGAAACTGAAAGACCTTGACAATGAAAACTTTACTTCTCTAAAAGAGATGGGGGAAGACACTGGCATATGGAAAGATCCCCCACCACACACATTCACAGATTTGTAGAATTAATATTGTGAAACTGATCAACCTACTTAAAGTGATTTACAGATTCAAAGCAATCCTACATGGCAGTCATCATAGAAACAGAAAAACGAACCTCCAAAAATACATGTGGAAACTCTAAAGACCCCAAACACCCTAAGCAATCCTGAACAAAAAGAGCAACCTGGAGAGATATCATACTAGTTTCACCACTCAGCCAACCTTATAAATATGCTTTTGAATTTTTTTTACTTGTTTTCATTTTTGGTAGAAAACTTCAACTCAAGAAATACTTGATTTCTAAATCATACAAGGAGTAAGCAAAAGAAAGAAGAAAGAAAGAAAAGGGACAATATCATAACTCCTGAATCCTGAAAGGTATGTGATGTTCTCTTTGCTAGTATCCTGTGCTAGTCTCCTGCAGGAGGTAGCAAGCATTCTTTCACCGAAGTCTAAAAATTAATAAATAATTTAAGAACCTTATGCTAAGAGAAATACATGATTCCCACACGAAGAAAGAATATATCAAAATGCCTAACATCAAGCTGTGACCTCATCAGAAATATTTATCAAGGACAGAGGATGCATCTTATGCTACCTTGAATTAAAGAAAATTGCTTTCAAATTTTCATCATTTGCATTGCTGAGGATTTTAGTCAATAATGTAATTGAAGATTGGATGTGAGGAAGAGTTATTTAATTTTTTGGTATTCTTATGGTTGGTTATACTTTTTAATTTCTTAGGAACAAAATATATTTGAAAGATGATGTAAAAACAAGAACCAGGAAGAAAAAAATCTGACCCTCTGGTGCTTTTTACTTTGAAAGCTTTTTAATTTCCCATCTTTGGTGTTCAGCTCTCAGTTTCACTGTTTAGGATTCTATGATGGCAGTTTGAACCTGTACCAGGCAAAACTTTCCCAATCAAGATAGACAGGATCGTGGACCAATCATAGAGCTGGATTTCCTTTCAAAACCTATTACTGGCGGTTGTGCGGGAGACTTAGAACTCAGAGAGACAGGGTGGGGCCAAGGCTCAAGCGTTAAAAATCACCACCGAGCAAGCCTCCTCGCAGCAGTAAAGAGGTTGTTTAACATACCATCAAGATGTCTCTTTCTAGTAAGTTGACTCTGGACAAAGTAGATGTTAAGGGGAAAAGAGTCATCATGAGAGTAGACTTTAACGTTCCTATGAAGAACAACCAAATCACCAACAACCAGAGAATCAAGGCTGCCATCCCAAGCATCAAGCACTGTCTGGAAAAGGGAGCCAAGTCCGTAGTTCTTATGAGTCACCTTGGCCGGCCTGACGGTGTCCCTATGCCAGACAAATATTCCTTAGAGCCTGTTGCTGCTGAGCTCAAATCCATGCTGGGCAAGGATGTTTTGTTCCTGAAGGACTGTGTGGGTGCTGAAGTAGAGAAAGCTTGTGCCAATCCAGATAATGGGTCTGTCATCCTTTTGGAGAACCTGCGCTTCCACGTGGAGGAAGAAGGCAAGGGTCAGGATTCTTCTGGAAAAAAGGTTGTCGCTGAGCCAGCTAAAGTAGAAGCCTTCAGAGCATCACTGTCGAAACTCGGTGATATCTATGTCAACGATGCTTTTGGCACCGCACACCGAGCCCACAGTTCCATGGTGGGAGTAAATTTGCCCCAGAAGGCATCTGGGTTCCTCATGAAGAAGGAACTAGATTACTTTGCCAAGGTCTTAGAACACCCAGAGAAACCCTTCCTGGCTATCCTTGGTGGAGCCAAAGTGACAGATAAGATTCAACTCATCAAAAACATGTTAGACAAAGTCAACTTCATGATTATTGGAGGTGGGATGGCTTACACCTTCCTGAAGGAACTCAAGAACATGGAGATTGGTGCTTCCTTATATGATGAAGAGGGAGCCAAAATTGTCAAAGAGATCATGGCCAAAGCAGAAAAGAACGGTGTAAAGATAACCTTTCCTGTTGACTTTGTAACCGCTGACAAGTTTGATGAGCATGCAAAAGTTGGACAAGCCACTCTAGAATCTGGCATACCATCTGGCTGGATGGGTTTGGACTGTGGTCCTGACAGCATTAAAAACAATGCTCAAATTGTGGCCCAGGCAAAGCTTATTATTTGGAATGGACCTATGGGGGTATTTGAATGGGATGCCTTTGCTAAGGGAACCAAAGCCCTCATGGATGAAGTTGTAAAGGCCACCTCCAAGGGCTGTGTCACCATTATAGGGGGTGGAGATACTGCTACTTGCTGTGCCAAATGGGACACTGAAAATAAGGTCAGCCATGTGAGCACTGGAGGTGGGGCTAGTCTAGAGCTGCTGGAAGGTAAAATCCTTCCTGGGGTGGAGGCCCTGAGCAACATGTAATTGTCAAAGTGCTCTTGCTTCCTATTTCCAGTATGGAGTCCTGAATCCAACTTAGTGCCTTTACATCTGAAGTTCACTTTGGTTAATGTCTGCTCTCTATCAAGCCCCAGGCAAGCAGTGTGCCATATGTACAACATGAGCACACTTGTTAATTCTGTCATGCTTTTGTTACTCTCTTCAAGATCTCATCAGGGCTTGCCACTGTACTTCATAAGGAGGAAACATTCTCATGTCACCTATTAAAGAAGTGAGGCGAATCAGTTGAATGTGTCATCTTTACTTTAGTTGAACTTGATTATTTCTCTCTGAATGTGGGAAATAACGCAGAATCTGCTATAGGGGAAGTAGGGTGTAAAAGTTGTCTAAGTGTTAAATGCTAAAATGACCAAAATTAACAGAAAGTCATTATGCAAATGTGACTGCTATTTAGATCTCTATTAACAGTTTTTTTCCTAAATAAGAAAAAGAAGTATTTAGCAATTCCAATAATTTTCTTTTACAAAATGAAAAAGTAAAATCTACTGATATCTACACTAATGAGGAAGCTAAAAATCAAATTCAGGGCATGGATAAAAGTTTACTTGAGAAAGCAAACAACATTTAGTAATATATGACAATTGAATTCTTACAGTTGTTTTCTGAAATGAAAATGTATGTATTTCAGTATTTAGAAAGATTTTAAAACTCATTTTAAAAGGAACAAAATATGTAAGAAACACAAATACTTATTGGTTCTTCTCCTCCTCCTCCTCCTCCTCCTCCTCTTCCTCCTCCTCCTCCTCCTTCAAAATCTGGATGCAAAGAATAGGAAGCTTTTCCCAGTTTTAACTGTGCACACCTGATCAAGCCCTTGGAGGCAGAACTGGGAAGTGTGAAGGTCTAAATACTGTTTCCATGTCTCTCCCTCAGAGTTTTATCACAGGAATTCAGTCTTTAGCAGATGAGAACCTCCACTCTGGCACTGCTTCCCAGGATGTTTTCAGTGGTGGACTCCCACTCTTAGAATGTGTTGTTGTCTCTTTTCTGTTGTCTCTTGCTTCAATTCTTCAATAAGGACATGGTTTTTCCCTTATCTCAACCGTCTCCCACATCTAAGCAGTGTGTTTGCATTGTACCTCTTTGTAGAGCAGAGATCAACTTCCATGTTCTTACATCCTCTAGAAAACATCACAATCTGATTTTGCTGGGTTTTTTTTCTATTTTAAATTTTAGATTCTTAACAAATCTTTAATTTCCTAAGGTGGCCAGTCACATACTATATTGTGGGGGGTGGGATACTTACAGAATGTAAGCAGAGATTTTAAATCTGAAAGAAAATTTCTCCTTCAACTGTTGCTCACTATAAATTTCATGGTTACTTCACACAAGAGATAAGCATCATATTAGTCCAAAATGTAGCTCACCATTAGAACATTCCATTTCCACAATCTCTATTAAACCATGTTTCCTATCATGGTCCTTTTGGCATGGGCTAAGTCAGTTTTCCCATTTGGAAACTTACTGTCGATACACTCAGATGTTTATATCTTTTTTTTTCTTGCTTAACACCTGAGGCTCCCCCACTCCTTGCTTTTTTTTTTCTTCAGTAGCAATCTAAACCACTTGGCTTTGATATTTTCATTGGGTCATCATCTTCTGCCTTTTTCCCCCCTTTTAATTTGTTTTAATTCGACAGACTAATTATGCTAGCCAGACTTCCCTTCACCGTGACACAGATCAGAAACAATGGAAAAGGAGGACGGGTCTATGTAGGCATATGGTTTTGGAGACTTTGATCTAGTTAGCTTGTAATGGCAGAGCAGAAGGTGTTCACCTTGTTGAGGGTATGGGCTTTTTTCCTTCTGTTTGTTTTGTCCACTTTTGATGTGTTGGATCCTGTTTTGTTTCATTATCTTTTTTATATATTTTTATTTTATAATATGTAACTTGATTTCACATATCAGCCATGGATTCCCCTGTCCTCCCTCCTCCCACCCACCAGCCCTAGAAGACTGTTTTCTCATGAGTGCCAAAAAGGGAGTGAATCAAGATGGGAGGGGAGGTAGTGGGGAACTGGGAGGAGTAGAGGGGGAGAAAAATCTTAATCAGGGTATATTATATATTATATGAGGGGGAAATATATATTTTGAACTAAAGAAAAAAATTAAAACAAAAATTAAATACAATTTATGAAAATTTAATGAGTACCTATTTGGAAAGAAAAAGAAAAAAAAGAAAGAGTGCTTATTTTGGCAGGTCCTTCTTCCACTTTTCATTCTGCCTGATGTCTGTGCTGCCCACAGCCAGGGCAGGTGCTGAGGTCGGCAGACTCTTCTTAAGTAGTTTCATATTCTGTATTTCAGCTTTTGCCTTGCCCATGGTGACACTTTTGACAAGCATTGCTGTCTAACACCAGCCATGAGGCACAGACTTTAATAACTTTTTCCTAAAGCAGGAAAAAGCATCACCTTATAAGGTCACCAAAGTATATTGGGAGTGTGTGAATACATGGGTTTTTAAACCATATCAAGAGAACCAAGTCCAAGAACCTACCAGAGTTGACCCAGGAATAGTGGAGTACCCTCACCTGAACGAAGATAAAACTTAACACTACAGTGGGGGATGGCTCTCACCCTGTATGTGCATCAAGGAACTCAAGAGGCAGAGAATTCCTGACTCTACTATGGGTTTCAGCTCATTCTCCAGTATTGATATGACCTCCTTAGGTTGGTCACATGTCTGTCCCTGCAGACACAATTCTATGCCTAGAATCCTCAATATGACCCAAGGATGAAACCAGTTTCAACCCTATGGCCCTGCAGTGTGACAAGAACAGTACCCAGGAAAGCATGCAGTAAATATGGTGGGTGTGTATTGAGGACTAGGGTTGGATATAATAGTAACAAACCTAAGAGCAACTTTACAACCAAGACATCCCATGCTGTGGAAAGTAGCCTATAGACCACTAGGATAACATTAAATGACAATGTCCCCTGCTTCAAAGCACAAGCAGTATGCACCCTGTGTTATGACTCAGATTCACAAATATTCATTCCATTTACCTTGTAGTTCCACATCAGTGGGATAGGTAGTCAGGATCACAAAAGGAGGGCAATGTATCTTGTTTAAGTTAGCTACCACTACTTTATAAATTTGCTGTCTCCGGTTTTCCACCTTTAAGGGAATGCAAATGAATCAGATAAATAAGTACTTAATATTCACAACTGTATGCTTATCTTTGCTATTTCCTCAGTACATAAATAGAATTAGTAGATCTATTATTATGTAAGCAGCAAATATGTTCAAAATGCAAGTCTCATGAAGCCTCAACACTGCAATTGCAGAAAAAAAGAAACAAGATGCCCTACTCATGTATCGAACCCACATTCAAAGATTTTACATTTTCCACTTCTACATCAAGGCTGGCAGAACATATTCTACTTCATGTTCTTCATAGTAACACAACCCACACAGTTACTGTATTAAAATAGCTATGTTATAGCAGATCCCCAAGGAGTAGATTGTTGCAGCATGTCACCATTTTTTTTATTATAACACAGATACAAAACAAGACTTTGGTCTGCTCTTCTAAGCAATTCAAGCAGGTGAGGTGTAGAAGGAATTTGCTTACACAAAAGAATATGACTTATCAAGGTGCCTAGAGAACATGTATGAACATGGACAAAATAAAAGGATTCTGTCCACTTCGTATTTTAATAATGTAGAATGGCCTTGGTCGTCTTAGATAAATATGAGACAAGGTTAGACACCAAAGTACCAGATAAGACTGTAGGCCCTTGAGAAGATATTCAGTGGCCTCTCCCAAAGCAAGAATCTGTTGGGATCGATGAGCAAATCTAATATGCATGATGTCTTTACTGTCTTCAGTGTCCAAAGGAAGCTTTATGCCAATCAGGATCAAATAGAGCCAGCAAACAACTACAGGGTCATGGCCTCCTCAAGCAAACACATCCTTCTTCCACTGCAATGACTGCTTCCTAGGAAAGAACAGTGTCCATTGTAAATTAAATTTATTATGTCAACAAAGCTTGAGATTTGTTGGCAGCATTGAGGTATCTCTAACGTCCTCTAGCTGGCATCAAATTATAAGAGCTAGAATATAATTTTCCTATTATTTCTCCCAGTAATTGAAAATATATAGTCTCTCTCCAGCCATACCTGTCTTCAGTCCCTTTCCTGGGACTTGTTTTTTTTAATGTTCTCATCAGGAACATGAAGAAAATCTCATCTCCATTTTAGGCTATTTGTTATTTTATAAAAATGCACCTGAAAAGTTTTTCATATTAAGAAACTACATTGAATCCTTTTAGCCAATTGTTTTTCATAAACATATTTAAAATAAATATTTGTTCATCATCTAAATGCACCAGTTTGCACATATTCATAACAGTCAATACTTATTACTTGCCATAGGGGAATTTACTGCTAAACCACACATTAGATTTGTTTGATCCTTCCCATATTAAATATTCCACTTTTCCCTATTTGTTAAAGACACTGAAAGGTGCATGAAAACTCAGACTAGCAACAGTAGGTTACTTAGTCAATAAATGCAGCATTGACCCTCACGCTTAAGAGAAGAGAGGGTTAGTGTGTTTTTTAGCATTTCTAAACATCACTCTTCTGATTCTAGTAGCATACAATGCACATGCTTGAGGACAGAGAGATAGCTCAGTAGCTAAGAACACTGGCTGCTCTTGTAGAGGTCCTAGGTTCATTTGCCATCATCCACATGGAAGCTCACAATCACCTGTAACTCTAGTCCCAGGGGATCTGACACCCTATCTGGTCTTCATGGACAATAATTATGACATGTTACACAGACATAAATGCAGGCATGGCACCCATACACATAAAATAATTTCTTAGTGCATAGTCAGTCAGAAGTTATGTACATATTACACAGAGTACATTCTGGGTTCAGGGACTCTGAGCATTGAGTACTGTGGATGTGACTATTCCATGCCCACATTTGCCCTCCATCAACAACATTATCATTA